ACCTTAAAACACTCAATATATAGTTAAACTTTAGTAATCTAGTCCTGGCTGGTGTGGCTCAGCGGACTGAGTGCTGGCCTGGAAACCAAAAGGTCACAGTTTCAATTCCCAGTCAGGGCACATGCCGGGTTGCAGGCCAGGTCCCCAGTTGGAAGTGTGAGAAAAGCAATTGGTTGATGTATCTTTTTTTTTTTTTTGAGTGTCATCTTTTTTTTTTTTTAATTTTTTATTGATTATGCTGTTACAGTTGTTCTATTCCCCCTTTATTCCCCTCCACCCTACCCCCCATCCCCACCATCACCCCCCCTTTAGTTTATGACCATGTGTCTCAAGTCCTTTAGATTCTATATTTCCCATGCTATTCTTGCCCCCCCCATCTATTTTCTATCTACTGTCTATGCTACTTATTTTCTGTACCTTCTCCCCCCTTCTCCTCCTCCCACTCCCCTGTTGCTAACCCTCCTTGAGATCTTCATTTCTATGTTTCCACTCCTGATCTAGCTGTCCTTTTAGTTTGCTTTCGTTTTAGGTGTGGTTGTTAATAACTGTGAGTTTGTTGTCCTTTCACTGTTCATGTTTCTTTAACTTCTTTTTCTTAGATAAGTCCCTTTAACATTTCATATAATAAGGGCTTGGTGATGATGAACTCCTTGAATTTGATCTTATCTGAGAAGCACCTTATCTGTCCTTCCATTTTAAATGAAAGTTTTGCTGGATAGAGCAATCTTGGTTGTAGGTCTTTAGATTTCATGACTTGGAATACCTCTTTCCAGCCCCTTCTTGCCTGTAAGGTCTCTTTTGAGAAATCAGCTGACAGTCTGATGGGGACTCCTTTGTAGGTGACTGTCCCCTTAGCTCTTGCTGCTTCTAGGATTCTCTCCTTCATTTTTATCTTGGCTAATGTAATTACGATGTGCCTTGGTGTGTTCCTTCTTGGGTCCAACTTCTTTGGGACTCTCTGAGCTTCCTGGATTTCCTGGAAGTCTATTTCCTTTGCCAGATTGGGGAAATTCTCCTTTATTATTTGTTCAAATAAGTTTTCCACTGGTGGCTGTGCCTTTCCCCCTTCTGGTACCCCTATAATTCGGATGTTGGAGCGTTTAAAGATGTCCTGGAGGTTCCTAAGACTCTCCTCATTTCTTTGAATTCTTGCTTCTTGACTCTTTTCTGTTTGGCCATAATTTGCTTTCTTCTGGTCCACTCCATTGATTTGAGTCCCAGTTTCCTTTTCATTGCTATTGGTGTCCTGTGCAATTCCATTCATTTCAATTAGTTTCGCCTTCATATATTTGTCTAATTTGTCCGTATAATCAACCAGTTCTGTGAGGATCTTGATAACCAATGTTTTAAACTGTGCGTCTGTGAGATTTGCTATTTCTTCATCGCTTAGATTTATTTCTGGGGCTCTGAGATCCTCCTGCGCCATTCTTGGTCTGTTCGGGCCCTTTAAGAAGTGGTGCCTTGGATTCCCAGGTTGCTGGGTTGTGACGCTGTATGTGGGGGCGTGGCCCGAGCGGGGAAATGGCGACCCCCTCTGCCATTTCTCACAGCTGGGTGCGGAGGAGCAGTGCCTTAGGTGGTTCACCTGGGCCGGGCCGCTCAGAGTCGCTGGGTTATGACGCTGTATGTGGAGGTGGGGTCAGAGCAGGGAAATGGCGGCGCCCTCCACTGCCACTTGCCGTGGGGACCTGCCGGCCCGGTCCAATCGCCCACTCCCTCGCCTGTCCACCCGCGCACAAATGCGCGACCTCAGTTAACACGCAGCCCCGGCCCGGCTGTCTCCCCCGCGGTCGCTCGCCTGGTTGCTCCCGCGGTTGCTCACTGGGTCCAACCCTGCGCCTGGATTCCGCACCTGAGCCCGTCTGACCGAGTTTTCCTGTGCAACCCTGCTCCGCCAGCCGCTGGTTTCGCCCCTTACCGGTCAGGCTGAAGAATTTGTTGTTAACGGACTTCCGAAAAGTTCAATTTTCTGTGTTCTGGCTGTGTTTTCTGTTGCTAATATTTAGTTTTCTCTAATCTTGGTTGTGTGAGAAGGCACGGCACATCCACCTATGCCTCCATCTTGGCGGAAGTCCTCTGGTTGATGTATCTTTTGCACATTAACGTTTCTTTCCCTCTCTTTCTCCCTCCCTTCCTAGCTCTCTAAAAACAAATAAAGTGTTACAAAAAAACTTGCATGACATTGATAAGCACCAAACTCAAGAAGAATGATTAACTCTGGGGAAGAAAACAAAACTATGTCTATATTTTATTTCTTTTTTAAAAAGTATTTTATTGTTATTCTATTACAGTTAGTTGTCCCAGTTTTCATTTGGTGTAAGTATAACAAAATGTTAAGATTTGACAAAGTTGAGTCTTGGCCGGGTGGCTCAGTTGGTTAGAGTGTCATCCCAGTTCACCAAGGCTGCAGACTCGATCTTCGGTCAGGGCACATGAGAGAATAAGCCAATGAGTGCATAAATAAGTAGGACAATAAATCAATGTTTCTCTCTCAAATCAATTTTCAAAAAAAGATTTGACAAAACTGGATGGTAGACATACAGATATATATATAACTTTCTATACTTTTCTTAATGTTTGAAATAATTCATTAGGTATAAAGTTATACATATTCATTGTAAAACATTTAGATATTGTAGAAAGGCATAAAGATAATTTTTAAAATCACTCATAATCACTCCAAAAGGAAACCTGTCCCCACTGGCAGTCACTCCCCAGTCACTCCTCGTTCTCCCAGTGCCCCAGCCCTGGGCAACCTCCAGTATGCTTTCTGTCTGTATGGATTTGCGTGTTATGGACATTTTATATAAATGGAATCATACAATACGTAGTCTTTGGTGTCTGGATTCTCTCACTTAGCACAGCGTCTTCAAGGTTCATTCATATGGCAGCTGTTCCAGTACTTCACCCCTTTGTACTGCTGAGTAACACTCCACCCTGTGAGTATGCTGTGTTTGTTTTCTCATTCATCGGTTGCTGGGCATTTGGGTTTTGGCTATCATGAATAATGCTGCTGTGAATACTTGTGTACAGATTTTGTGTGGGGACATGTTATAAATTCTTTTGAATAAATACCTAGAAGTGGAAGTGCTGGTTTTTATGGTCACTCTGTGTTTAACTTTCTTTTTAAACGATTTTATTCATTCATTTTGAGAGAGAGGGAAGAGAGGGAGAAAGAGAGGGAGAGAAATATCAATGCGTGGTTGCCTCTCACACGTACCCAGGCACATGCCCTGCGTGGGAATGGAACCGGTGACCCTGTGGTTTGCAGAACCGTGTTCAATCCACTGAGCCATGGCAGCCAGGGCTATGTTTAACTTTTTGAGTAACTGCCAAACTGTTTTCCAACGCAGCTGCACCATTTTACATTCCTCCTAACAATGAGGGTTCCAATTTCTCTACATCCTCACCAGCGTGTATTATTGTACGTCTTCTTTGATTACAGTCATTTTAGTGGGTGTGAAGTGGTTCTGATTTGCATCTTTCTAATGACTAATGATGTTCAGCATCTTTTTATGTGCTTATTGGCCACTGTATATCTTCTTTGGAGAAATGGCTATTCAAATTTTTTGTTCGTTTTTATTTATTTGTTTCTTTTACTGATTCCAGAGAGAGGGGAAGAGAGGGAGACAGCAATGGAGAGAAATATCGATGTGAGACAGACACATTGATCAGTTGCCTCTTGCAGGTACCCGACTGGGACCGACCCCCGCCCAGCCTGGGAATGTAACCCTACCGGGGATCAAAGGGGCAATCTTTCAGTTTGCTGGACACGCCCAACCCACCAAGCCACACTGGCCAGCGCTTTGTCCTTTTTTAAATTGGGTCATTTGTCTTTTTTGTTGTTGATTTGTAAAAGTTATCTGTAGATTCTGAATAAAAGTCCCTTATCAGATATGTGATTTGCAAATATTTTCTCTCATTTTGTAGATTATCTTTTCACTTTCTTTATGATGTCCTTTGAAGCACAAAAGTTTTTAGTTTTCATGAAGTCCTATTTATCTTTTTCTTTAGTTGCTTGAGCTTTTGATGTTATAGCTAAGAAACCATTACATAATCTAAGATCATAAAATTTTACTACTGTGTTTAATTTAAAAAATATTTTATTTTTTATGCTGTTACAGTTATCCCACTTTTTCCCCCTTCATCTGCCTCCACCCAGTCCGCCCCCATTTCTGTAGTCAGTCCCCTGACCGTTGTCCATGTCCATGGGTCCTTCCTGTGTGTTCTTTGTACTACTATGTTTTATTCAGAGTTTTGTAAGATAGAGCTTTACATTTACATCTATGATCCATTTGGGCTTAATTTTTATATTTGGTGCAAGGTAGGGTTTCAGTTTTATTTTTTTTGCCTGCGCATGTCCACCTGTCCCTCTGTCTTTTGGTGAAGAGACTGTTTTTTTTTTCTCCATTAAATGGTCTTGGTGCCCTTACAATCAGTTCCGGGGAATATGGCAGTTTGTTCTAGACTCTCGGTTCTAGTCCACTGATAGACTTCTCTGTCCATGTGCCGGAAGCACACGGCCTTGCTGCCCCTCCGGCTTTGTCGTGAGTTTTCAAACTGGGGAATGTGAGTCCTCCATCTTGCTCTTTTCCGAGATCGTTTTGGTTATTTCGGGACCCTTGCATTTCAATCCTGAGTTTTTAGTCATCTCGTTGTGCTAAGTCCTGTGGAGGAAAATGAAAAGCAGAACCACTAACCATCAGTGGTTTTGTGTGGTATGTGAAATTAGTACATGAATCTGAAAACTAAAGTAAGATTGAATTTGCTTTTTTCATTCCAATCCTCAGTCATCCCTTTTCTACTGGGAAAATAATTGAAGAAACGTGTGCCTCCTTCTATTAGTTTGAGTTGTCAGCTTGTGTTAGAGCAAAGAGAAAATTCCAGAGCCTGCAGTCTTCAGGGCCTCCTGTCTACACAAGTAATACTGACTTCCTCAGGATAGCATCTCCCCTTTGTGTCTGAAGGAAGCCCATCCTAACGCAGCCTCTTCCCCGCAGCAATAACAGCCAAATGAAGAAGCGGCCCACGTCCGCAGTGGGCTACAAGAGGCCTATCAGCCAGTATGCTCGGGTTGCCATGGCAATGGGGTCCCACCCCAGGTACAGGGTAAGAAGCTGGGCAGTGGAAGTGGGGAGGGGAGAGATCCCAAGGGGGGGGATGCTTACAGCCTTTGCTTCCTCTCCCTACCTTATCGTCCCTGCTCCCCCCAATATTTACTGAGGGCCTGGAAGGTACTGGACCAGTACTCAGGTCTGGCATGATCCTCCTACCACAGGCTGAAAACATAATGTTTTTGGAGTTGGATGTGTCCCCTCCCGCTGTCTTTGAAATGGAATTTTCTCACGACCAAGAACAAGATCCCCGAGCTCTGCACATGGAGAGGCTCATGCGGCTGGACAGCTTTTTAGAAAGACCTTCCACCTCGAAAGTCCGGAAGTCCCGATCCTGGTCAGTACCGTGGGGTCAGAGAGGGCGGGGCTCAGGGTGGGGGCGGGGCTCAGGATGGGAGGCGGGCGGTGGCAGAGGCGTTTCCACAGCAACAGGGCGTGGGGGTGGCCAGTCCTCAGTGCTCGCTTTCCTGCAAGTTCCCAGCTTTCCCTATCACCCACCTCGTCCCCACCCCGCGCAGGTGCCAGAGTCCTCAGCGGCCTCCACCCTCCACCACCACACATGCCTCACTGGCCTCCGCTGCTCTACGCCCTGTGACAGTGCTAGACCACGAGTGACAACCTTCAGTCTGGCTGCCGGTCTGGCCGACTCCCGGGATGGGAAGCCAGCTCTGGATCATCTCATCCGCCGCTTGGTGCGCGTGTGTGTGCGCATGTGCGTGTTCGTGTGTGTGAGGGGGTGCGAGCTGGCAGACCGTGCCTCTGCTCGCTCTTCTTAGCCTCCTTTATTTAATTAATGTTATTTATTCGCGGAGCTCAGTTAGTGTGGGGGAGAGGCCCTCGGCTGAGCCTGCCCAGTGACTGCGTAGCCTCCTTTCCTGCTGACTGGAGATCCCCAGTCAGACTTCAAGCTCCTCGCTGTCAGCTGCCCCCAGAAAGGAGGGTGGCCAGTGCCTGAGAAGAGAGGACTTCTTCGACCTGTCTCCACATCCTCCATCTCCTCCTGTGCTGATGTGAGCAGCTCCGAAGCACTTTCTGGGACTAGAAAAATTCTGGGCGTCCCCGGAGGACAGGAGATGTCCCGACAGTGCTCCCAGCACTTTCTGGGCCTCAGACAACCCTGGTCGGCTTCTCCGGCTCCTTTTCAAGGACTTAAAAGACCTCACCCACACAGCCCCCCTTCAGCTTTGCCAAGAATCCATGGCTTCGGATCTCTGCTTCCTGCCCACTTTCCCAAGCCTGGGGTGGGACTTGCCAACCGACCAGTTGCCTCTTCCTCAGGACCTGCAGGAAGTGGAAGTCGTGAGACAACGTGACAGCCATCAGGAGAAGTCCCTCCAGTGCCCTTCGTTTCTGTGCGCCTCCTAGAAGTAACTTTAGTGGGCGAGTGGTCCAGCCTACTCCCTGAGTCTGAGATGCTGCTCCTGCCTGCTTCAGATGTCTTCCCCGCAGCCGCCCCGATCCCAGTTCATAGTGCCGGGGAATCGATGTCCTTGTCCCCCTGGCTCAGCAAAGGCATGGGAACCTGTTGCTTCCCCCTCATGTAAGCGCAGGAGATGGAGACCCAGGCGCAATCGGCCAACTTTACCTGTTCCCCCCGTTTCTGAATCACATTTGTTGGGCACTATTTTGTTGAAAACTAACTTCTTCAGCATTGTGCAAACTGGGCCCCAGGGAAGTACTCTTCATCTCCCTTTGTGGCATCCCGAGATGTCTCCAGGTATCTTAAGTGATAAGTAAATTTCTACCAAAAAAAGAAAAGAGATTAATTTTCATTGACTTACTTTTTCAGTGTGCATTTTGGTGGAGGGGTAAAGAAGTAATCATCAGAGAACACCATTGGTTCAGGATTTTAAAATGCCCTTGTAGTGGGAGTCTCCAGTTCCTAGGATATGAGGAAGTTGGTCACTGGGATGAAAGCATAAAACTGACTGCTTTGCCTGAAATTTGATGTTGGGTGCTGGCAATTATTCTCTTTCCATTAGGAAATTAACCCTTTTACACCTTTCCAGTTCTGCCCTGAGGACCAAGCTATGGTTGGGTTTAAATCAATGATGCTGTCATTTCTGCTGTAATTACTAGACTAGATGGTCGGGCAACTCAGTTGTTGTTTGCTGCTGTCCATCAAGGAAATAACGTTTTCTATCAGAGCCCAAGGGATTATTTGAGACTCAGAATTTAGATACTAGATCCTGCTGAGGCTGGGACAAAGTCATATGTAGAAATGCCCCAGGTGGCCCGGGGACATCCAGGCCTGCATTGAGCAGCCTCTCCCAGTGACCTCTTTCACGTTTGTGGATGAAACAGCACGTGTCACCCCCCCCCCCCTTCACCACTTGGACACATTAACTCTGCAATGTCTGGTCACGTGACTGTCACAGTCTTACAGCACAATCCACCCAACTTCACCACCCCTGGTCTGAGAGCTGGGCCCGAGGTGTGGTCAGAGAAGGAGCTCCCGCCTGCGGTTTCGTGTATGTGTGTGTGTATGTGCGTGTCTGTGTGTTTAATCCACAGGGGACACTCTACACTCAGTGTAAGATATGCTGGGAACAGGGCTACTGGGGTGGCTGGATCTCAGTCTCTCTGTTTCTCTCTCTCTCCTTTTCCTTTTGATGTAGCAGACATTTGGTTAACAAAGTAAGGGCCTCAATTGGACCAAATTTCCACGTCTGTTGCTATGGTCTTTACTTAGGACAGCAGCTAACAATGCGGTGGCCCTTATATTACATATGTAATATATAAATATATATATGTAAAACATTGCCCCCTGTCTTCTTGGCTTAGGATGAGGCCTGTGTGTTGAGCTGAAATGCACCTGCAGCTCTGTGCTGCCAGCAGCCTGCAGGCCCCGGCCCTGTTCAGATTAACACAGTCGATAATAAAGGAATGAGTATCGTCACACGGTTGGTTGCCTGCCTTCTCTTCCCTTTGTTTCTTACTACTTTTACTCCCTCTTTCATTTTCTCCCTTCTCTCTCTTCCTTGTTTTTCCAGTGTGGGGTCAGTAGCATGGGGAGCCTAAGGGGCAGTTACCAGCTCCTCGGCTGCTTAATGAAGGGACCCGTCTGCCCAGCAGGGCTGAGGGGCAGGTCCCAGGCTCCAGTGTGAATGAAGTCTGTGCCAGCTATGACAGCAGCTGCTCGTGTTCTGGTAGCCGTCTCTGCCCAGCTAATTCGGAGCTGTTAGCAGATTTTAGAACTGCCTAGATGCTGTCCGGATGAGCCGTCAATAGCGTTTGGCAGCTCTGCCCGTCTGCACCTCCATTTGTCAGCCAAGAGAGGCTAAAACAGCCAATAATGGGTCTAAACCACGTGGTGGGTGTTGAATTAAAGTAACTTGAAATCTAGCTTCCCCTTTCATCTCTTTCCAGGGGGTCTCTATTTCCCTCTCCCTGGGTTCTAGCAATTGGCCCCCTATAGCGGGGGAGGTCTTGTAGGAAATGAAAAGTAGCTTCTGCTAAAAAACCAACACAAAGCCAATGACTCCTGGGAGAGCACGGAGCCGAGGCTGATGCACAACACCCAGCAGTGAACCATTGTTTTGGCGCCGGTGGTTTTCCAGGAGGGGCTCCCCGCCTCCATGCCAGACACCAGCCCTGTCTTCCAACTGGGTGCCAGGGCGGGAATGGCTCTGCTGTCTGAGGGATTTGCCCTTTGTTGTGTTCGGGGATCTACACACGCAGGCTCATTTTGTCTTCCCAGGTGGGAGTTACTGCCATTGGTTTATGGGTGAGATTCGGGAAAATTAACTGTAGGCATACTTCAGAGATAGTGCAGGTGCAGTTCCAGGTGACTGAAATAAAGCGCATTGTAATCTTTTTGCTCACAGAGGGTCTCGCCTTTGGGTAAAAAAAATACAACACCTAGGAAGCACAATAAAACACAGTAAAAGTAGGTATGCCTGTGCCTTGGCTAAAGATTAGTAATGAATGTGGAGTTCCAGACTCTACAACCCATACTGCCTTCTGCCCTGTGCCGGGTTATCTGGCCAGCCCAGCTGTACCTCAGGAAAACTGATAGCACCCTACATGTTTTACAAGAAGTGGGAGCCGGGGACAGATGGGCAGAGGGCTTGGCAGTAAAACCAAATTTTCAGACCCTTGACCTAGAGGCCATTTCAAAAGCACTCACTCCTCCCAGTAGCAGTGGGCTCACTTGTGGGGCTGACAAGAGTGGCTTCCTAGACCTCGGCAAACGGCCAGAAGAACTCTCCCCTAGCCCCATCCTTTGTGGGCTGTTGATAAAGAAGCTGCTATGTTTCACTTCTTCCTCCAACACTGGGTACCTGACCTCCAGACATACTTCCTTCTGTTTTTAGATGCCTAGAGCCGGGGTGTGTCTGTTAGAATTCTTTAGCCATGACTAAAGGTTTGCTTAAGCTCGCCCGAACAAAAGAAGAACGAGAAGCATACACTGGACCCCAAGGGTAAGAACAGAACCAGGACTCAGGAATGCCCACTACCAGGGACTCAGACACCACAAAGAGCCCCTCTGTCTTGCCACACTTCTTTCTGTGTGGCGTGCATGTTCTTTCCTCAGCTGCTCCAGTTCATGACACAGACGACATGCCTGCCAGCAGCTCTCTGTTTACATGATCCAGTCATCCAGAGAGACTTAGAATCTCCATCTTAGTGCCAAATTCATGGTCATGTGATTCTGATTCAATGGTTTGGGTCAGGTGGTGGGAACATGAAATATGAATAAGGCCTCCAAGAGTCCTACTGCTGTAACCATGTATATATCTGGGCAGGGGTGCAAATAAAGATATTTCTCAGAGATGGCAAGGGGCCTTGGCCAGTTAGCTCAGTTGCTGAGAGAATTGTCCCAATACACCAAGGTTGCAGATTCAATCTTTGGTCAGGGCACATGCAAGAATCAACCAATGAATGCATAAATAAGTGGAACAACAAATCAATGTTTCTGTCTCCCTCTCCCTCTCTCTAAAATCAATTTTAAAAAAAGATGATGAGGGTGGCAGGGTGTAGGGAGTGTGAGCTGGACAGTCAACCAAACAGACGTCTATGCCCAGTATATCCACACCCAGGATAGCTCGTACCCTTATTCCAGCCACTTTTCTTACAGCAGTTCACCTGCATCAGCGTCATCACCCTCAGACAGTGTTCCCAGCACTGCTACCTCATCAGGATAGATCCAGGTGGTGGACACTGCATGTTGCCTTTCCAATATTCATTTTTCCCTTCTGTCTTACTTATAAAGTAATGTTGTTTAAGGGGGGAGGTGCACACAACTAGAAATACTCATCTTTCCAGACTCCCTTGCAGCAGTGGGTGGCCGTGTGCATGGTTTTGGCTAAGGAGATGTAAATGAAAGTTGGCTAGGGATCTCTTTTTTTCTTTAATATATTTTATTGATTATGCTAATACGGTTGTCCCATTTTCCCTCCTTTATTCCCCTCTGCCCTGCACACCCCCAGACTCCCTCCAGGCTGGCTTTCAGTCACTTCCCCCACTACCCACAAACAAACTGGGTCCTGCTGGTGCTGATTCCCGTGTGGGTGGGTTGTGTACATTCTAGGACTCTGTGGGTTTCTCCAACTAACTCTCCTGTGAGGCTAGGAGTTTCTCCTGACACCACGACCCTCACAGGTTTTTTCAGTCAGAGGTTTTGAGGCTTTATTTTCCCGTGCTGTGACCCTGAGTTGCACAGTCTGTCTTGCTCCCCAGTTGTTCATCCCAGTTCATCTGCACACAAGTGTGGGACTGTCCGGTCCACAATCCGGTGCCTCGCTGGGTCTGCCAGCCGCCGCTCTGCTGAGAGTCCTCTCTGTCCTACAGCCCCATCTCCGCCCCTCCTACCTGTCTGGATGGATATTTCTTCTTTCACTCCTTGGTTGGCAGACATCCATAGAGTTCAATTTTCTGTCAGTTCTGGTTGTTTTTATTTTTAAATTTGTTGTTGTCCTTCTTTTGGTTGTGCAAGGAGGCACAGTGTGTTTACCTATGCTCCCATCTTGGCTGGAAGTTCCGGGATTTCTGGGAATTGATTTTTTGCTTTCCTGATTTAGACATCACCCATCTCTCTTCTTCCTCTTTCTTCTTCCTGTGTAGATCAAATGCACCTTCTGGAAGTACATTCTTTCACCGAGCAAAAATTATTTCGCACCTGCTGTGCACATATTCCAAGTATTGTTTCAAGTGCTGGAGTTGCATCAGTGCACAGAACAACAGAAGTCCGTATCCTCACAGTGCTTACGTTCTTGGGGGAGGAGAAAGATGTTACACAAGAAAAACATATTGCGTATCAGATGGCAGTAAGTGTGGACAAGAAAGATGAAGCAGAGAAGGGAGACAGGGAGTTCCACGGACTATGGGAGGGGGGAGGTGGCAGTTTTAAGGCCCAGACTAGGAAGGTGAGCAAATTCCTGGAGGAGGTAAGGAAGGGGACCATGCCCATATCTGGTGGAAGAGGATGCCAGGAGAGGGGAAACAAATGCAAACTTTGTGGGAAAGATTGAGTCGGGCCTGTTCTGGGAGCAGCACTCACATTTCAACCCTGAGGCAACAAGCACAGCCTATAAAGGTTAATGGGGTAGAGACACAAGGAGCTCCAAGTTCCTGTTGGGATTTGTGCTTCTGAGACAGCTTGGTCTGTCCACTTAGGGACTTATAACAGTGCCAGACTTTTAAGCCAGTGTTGGAGGGCTTGCCAGGAATCTGCGTTTGAAATAAGCACCTCTAGGTGATTCGGATGAACCACTCTCTAACATCTGAGAATCTTGGTTCCAGCTGCTTAGGATTCTGGGTCATGATTCCAGTGGGCCTCCTCTTCAACATTCACCAGCACTGGGACCACCTGCCTGTGGAGATCCCAGGACTGTGCTCAAGGATGGCAGGGGCAGAGGGTGCAAAGCCGCTGAGGGCACGGAGTCCCGGGGACCCCTGTGCTTAGCACCTGCCCCTTCTTCACAACTGGATGGAGGGAGGGCACAGGGGGCTAACTTGCTTGGGCTAGAAAACCAGAGGGATTATTCTGCCACATCCAAAGCTCCCACTTGAAATAAGGAAAAGATAACCCAGAAAAAGGAAAGTGATTTCCCAAAGCCACACAAATGGTTGTCAGGCAAAGATGGGCCTGGAAGGCATAAGGATTTACTAGTCAGACACACTGCTGAGGTTTTTTGTTGTGTGTTTACTTTAATTTTGAAATAATCTTAAATTCACAGAAGAGGTACTATAATTGTACTAAGAGCTCCCATAGGCCAAGAGATCCTGTTCAAGTTTTGCCAACTGTCCCAAAAAATGACATTTATAGCAAAAGGACCCAACCCAGGTTTGTGTGTTGTGCTTAGTTGTCGTGTCTCTCTAGTCTTCTGTCTAGAAGAATTCCTCAGCCCATTCTTGACCTTTGTGTCCTTGACATTCATTAATATTACCGGGCAGTTAATTTGTGGACTGTCCCTCGATTCAGCCTTCTCTGAAGTCTCCTCGTGGCTAGAGTCAGGCGGTGCACAGAAGTGGCTCTGTGTCTCCTCACTGTGTCCCATCAATACTGTATCCCTGTTCCCATGGAGCACGATGACATCGCTTTGTCCCATTACCGGTTGTGTGGACTTTGATTATTTATTAAGGTGGTGCCTGCCAGGTTTCATTGTGGGTGGGAGAGGATACCATGAAACTATGTAAATATCCACTCTTATTTCAGCCGCCGGCTTGAATATTTATTAATGTTTCCTGCTTGAGTTAATTACTGCTATATGATTGCTGAATGGTGGCTTTTAATTTTATTATTTCTTCTACATTTATTAGTTGATATTAACTTGTGAGAAACTGCTTTCTCTTCAACTTGTTTGTTTACATTAGTGTAAACTCATAGATTCCTATTTGATTCAATGGGTTATATTATTATTATTATTATTATTATTATT